GGCACCTCTCTCATAACATTTACAGGTATTATAGACATGGATATTTACCATCGTATTATTGACATCAAATTTAAACATAAAAATCAAAATATAATCTATATTAGAAGCCTGATTAGAGAATACTTAGAATAGTTGACCACATCAATATTGGGTAAAAGCAATTTTTTTCTGCCCAATCAATGAAAATTGATAGGTCTTTTGTGGATAGAATTGCAATTTTTATACTGCTATTTGGCAGACCCAGCGCTAGTGGAAGAGCCTTTCAAAATTTACATCAAATTTATGTCAAGTCTGTTAAAAGCCTGCAAATAATTCAATAATGTAAATACTGTATAAGGGAATTTTTCCAGTAGACGATACGTTATTTCTATGGAAGGTCCATTCCTATTCAATATATTTGAAGGCCCATTGGTACATCACAAAATAATATTCTGTTTGTATTCCATTAAAACATTTAGACTGTCTTTTGTCATAGATGCAATAAGTGACATTTGCTAATTTGTGGTGCAGATGCTACCACCTATAATTAGGGAAGTACTCCTTTCATAAAATTGGTTTGATATCAATTTTCATATTTATCCTTCAATGATTAAGCTACAGAAGTAGTTTAGTGGCAAAAACGTGAGCTCATATCATAGGTTCGGTGTAAGGCGTGTATAGATGAAAAACGATTTCACTTAGCCCGCTTGCCAACAGCAGAAGGTGCAAATGAAGAATGGACAGATTAGAGTGCTCATATCTATTCATATCTTAGCAGGGAACGACGGCATCAGCATCCTCCACAGTATCAACATCGGCATCACCTCCAACGTCACCTTCCAAATCTTCTTCAGAATCAACGTCTTCATCATTTTCAACATCAACGTCAGCATTATTTTCAACATCAACTTCAGCATCAACCTCTGCAGCTTCAGCATCATCTTCAGCACTTACACCACCAAAAGAATCATCCAATGATACACAACGGTGGCACAGTCCAGAATCTCAATTCATTTTGAAGTGTTGGAGCAAACAGATTTCCAAATGCCAAGGATCCCAAGCGTATCATCTGTAGTTTGCCACAAGGAGGGCCGAAGAATTTTTAATAAAATAATCAAAAAGTCGATGGTGGTTCACAATAATGGCTATTACCATGCACATTGTCATGTAAAAAAGCTGTAACTCATCATTATTTTGCAAAAAAACGGTTTATATATACTTTTAAAAGCATTGAGATTCAGTCTAGATTTCACATTACCACATCAAATATTTGCCATGGTACATTTCCGGTACTTATTTTGGTGAAAAACTTAGGCCAATCGCCCCTCATAGGACAACTCTTGTTTAGTCTTGCAAAAAAGTGCACAATGGAGAAAATCCGGAATTATCATCTGCATTCTTTCTTTCTACCTTTATCATATGTCAATATCAAATGAGACTTTCATTGAGCCAATTGTTCTCAAAGTCAGAGTAAAGAAAAATTAAAGTTACCCCCAGTTTGGTTTTCAAACTTGAAAGAGAATTTTTCATGTGACACACGTTCAGCCACTCAAAATTTGTCAAGCAACAGAACAGGCAGCCCACCATTCCATAAGGAAGCCATTAGGCAAATGAAAGTGTTTCCAAAAAACCTCTTGAATGGAAATTGTGCGAGCTGTTGTTTGGGTTTCAACTAAAATTTGTTTTTGAGAGACAAAGAAACGTTGTAGGATTTTGTTTTGTTCTGGCAAAAAACCAACAGGGGGAAGCAAGAGAAGTCAAAGGCCTACTTTTTACTCACTTCTTTTACATTCTACTTACTTCTTGAAGATTCCCCTAGCTTTTATGAATAAAATGAATTAACGATTATAAGCAAAAGTATGAGTTATGTTGTTCAGCTCTTTGAAAATAAACAAACCCCAACTCCTTCATAATAATTTTTAAAATGGCACTGTCAGAATTCATACAAAAAAATCAAATTCACTTATAAGGGGATCATGACTCTATGTAGTTGGAAAGGCAGAGCTACATTAAAACATTTTTGCTAAAAAGCATGAGAGCATGGAAGTAGAAGCTGCTCAGCAATTGTATGACAAATATTTGACCTATTATAAAAGATGCACAAACCAGAGGATATGAATTAATTTTTGTGCAAAAAGATACCATTCATTGGTCGTAGTCCAGAAAGAATTGTCTCATGTAGCTGTGGCAGGGTGCTCAGCCTAGAAGTTAAATGCCCTTCATTGATTAGATACATTTCTCAAGTGGATCTTGGCATCAGTCTTCATTACTTAAGGCAAGAAGGAGATATATATGCTTGAAAAAAACCACAAGTACTATAGACAGTGCCTTGTGCAAATTGGGGAAACTGCTGTTTATCAAGGTCAACTGTGTGGTCAGCACATTTACATTTCATCGAGAAGCTAACTTTTGATGCTCAAGAGTGGACAGACATAACCCATATATTAAAGTGCCCCTTCACCTTGGAGGGAGTTTATGAAAACAAAAGACCAATGAACATAGGAAGTTAGAAAACCATTTTTCGTTGTGTAATTGCAAAGGAATTCATAAATATAGGGGTTTTATTTCACACCCCTCGCGATGCAGTACCGCATTTTAAGGGTGGTCTGGGAATGAGCCTTAGCTATGTCATACCATGAACCCATATTGGAATCGTATCTGGACAAAGACCATGTCTGCTTGTACTTTGTTCAATATTTCCAATATTTTACCATGTCTTCTTCCGAAAGCGATGTGTCTAATGCGAATGCCAGTTATGATTATGAGTCTGAAAGGAATTATGCTATAGAGGTTGAAGGAAACGAGGAAATAGGTGCCGCCGCGGCCGCTAAAGTTGATTCAAGTAGGGACAATGATAATGGCCTACTCGAATAGGATCCTGTTGCGGACGAAGAGTTTGTTCGAAATTATGAAAGGGCTATTCAGGAAAGTTGAGAAGAAGAAAGCATCTTATCGAGACATTTTGAAGGCATCGAACAACTGGACTCTTGGTGAGTTTTTAGTCAAAGACTTTCTATCCCTAGAGACCGTAATGACGATATATTCGAATGTGGGCATGAGTGTTTTTCCATCTCATATTAATGTATTTAGGAATCTAATTAAGTGAGTCGTTGGCATCTTAGGGCTTATTTTTCATATATTCTACATTCGAGCCTTAAATACTTGAATACCAAAATATGAGGTGCAAATTTAACCAATTTACACCAAAATCAAAGTATTTATCGAAAACTAAAACCTCAAATAACAAACTGGTTGAAGGGGCCCCCTGAAAAGTAAAACTTGTGGATCTTTGATTGACCCATATTCCCCTTTTGTACGTAATTTACATAATCCAATATTGAATACCTAGAGATATAGTAATATAAATGTTTATGTTAAATAGTTATGTATAACTGCCTCAGATCTATAAGGATTATGCCTTTTTCTTTAGGTGCAAATGTGCTATAGACAGACTTGCCAAGGCTAGAGAATGCAAATGCTGCGATGAAATTAAAGGTTGTATATCATCATTGACAACTGTAGAAGTAAGGCAAGATATTGGCGAACAGACTGCAACATGTGTGGTTGAGCACCCTGGGTTTAAACCAGTGTGCCTCAATAAATGGTCCTTAGGGGTGATAGCACAGAGCTTTAAAAAAAAGACAAAACAAGATACAAGCGTACTGGATTTGAAAATAAGTAAGTGCATTTTTTTCAAATTTAAACAACAAATTGCACTTTCACAAGTATACGTATCCAAAGTTAACAGAGTTTTATAAACAGTTAACACATTTTCTATTTTCATAAGGCTAAAGTTGTTAAGGGTACCATAGATTTTTTTCCTTTTTTTAAAATTAAATCTAATGTGTGATGGTTTTTTATATGGTTCAATATATTTCAATGTGTTGTGAGTTTTCATCACAAAATAAACACCATTCAGTGTTATCTTTTTCCTTCAGGTTCCTATGAAGTATCTCATACAGATCCTTCACAAGGTTGATACACGGTCGTCTTGGAAACAAAAAAATTCCCTTGCCGGCCTGTACATATAATGCAATTCTACGAGAATTTCCAGTTTTGGCAGGAAATGCAAAGGGGAATAGTTCTAGTTCAGTTCAGTAATAGAGAGTAATAGTTCAGAGTAAATCTAAGTTTTCAAAAGTAAATCCTTCTCCCTGATACTTTGATACCTTTCTCAACCATACAATTTTAATGTTATTTATTGGTTGGACAGTCTACTTTCTTGTGTCCTTTCATCCTTGAGGCTTTGATCTTTGCTTTGTTGCAGTTTGTACAATTTGGTTAACTGTCATGAAAAAGAAGAAGTTTCTTAATGCTAAGAGGTACATTGTATGTATCTGATTGTATGTATGTAACATATTTTTGCTCTGCAAATCAGGATTATACAGCATTGATTGAGAAAAATGCTTTTATCATTATAATATGATTTTAACCAAGGATATGTTTGATCAATGGGTTATAAAACAATTGCTGACCTGGCATTGTTGGTGGTACATCAGTAGCAACTAATGATTTTCTCGCAGTATGCTTTTCAACAGCTAGAATTCGTGGCTGTTTCTCAAGTGTAGAGTTCATGGGTGGATGTGTTTGATCCTTCAACTCATTTACTGCATCCTTTAACATTGTTGGTGACTTGATGCCATTAAGGATGGTCTGATAAATGTCTTCCACATAATCTGTCGATATAATTCAGTAAGAGTTTCCTTAATACAGAATGCGAGAATCCTTTATTTTGAAGCTCAAATGTCCTTTGATTGTCTATTGCCATTTGTTTTTATTTAATTCAAAGTTATAACCTTAACTGCAGCAGGGCTGTATTAGATTTTTTATTGAGTCAAAGTGAAATTCTGTAAAAGCAAATGTGTAATTAGAAAACTTTCAGAAAATTAAGTTTAATGTTAATTGAGAATTTAAAAAAGGAATTCTTACCAAAATTTTGTGCCACTGAAACATCACGTACCTCAATCGCCTGTCTCACATGTTGCATATATAAATGCAAAAAAAATTCAAGAACAGTCTTATTAAATTGTTACCTGCACAAGATGAGAGCATGAATAAACCAAATAAGTGCCATATTTTGCACTGTGACCCATGCTGTCATGGCGGGCATCTCCGGCTAGAACAGCAGGATTGCTTTCGTCTTTGAGTGCCCTAAGGAGACCAGCCTGATATACTTTCCAGTGGATATATATAGCTGGAAATAATTTTTCCTGGAAAAGAAACTTGTATGTTATCTATTGGTTGTCAATTCAAACTTTTGTGTACTGAAACTTTCATAAGAAACTTTTGTTATATAATCAAGAAAATATTCTAACTCTTAAGCCTGTTTTGTTTGCCACTCTACTTCCCTGGCCTACATATGTGCCCTCTTTGTAATTTTGTGTGATCCACTTAACATTTTGCCTGAAACTTAAAGTAAAAATTGAACCCTATACTGTAGCACATTTCTACAAGGATGAAGTTTTTAGTCATAAAATAAAGAGAGACTATTACTTAACCAGTTTTTTTGGTTTAAAATATAACAAAATCAATTTCCAAGTAGGGGCATCAACACATTTTAAATTCAACAGAATTAGCTTCAAATAGCAAATTTGATTAATATTTTGACATTTTTACCCTTTGGTGTTTGAAGAAAGTTGTGAACGAGATTGTGAAAAGATTCATGTGATTGAAAATCTGTCTGACTTTTGAGATTGAGCCCCCAGCTAACAATGTTGACATACAGAGCAGGAAGTTGCCGGCAGGTATGTTAGTTCCAGTCTTTTTTGGTTGACTTCTCCAAAGATTTTTATTTAGACATGCTGGGTTAATACAGTGGCTCCTAACAATCAGCATTGTTCCACATTTAGTTGCTTTAATGTTAGGGTTGTCACTCTTGCAGAAATGACAGAAGTTGAAGAGCAACAAGATTTGAACCAAAAATGAGATGAATTTTGGTTCTGTCCGGAGGTTTCCATCTGTAGCTAAGAACCTGTGTTTCAGAATGAAGTAAATTTTAAACATATGCATAACTAAACTTGACTAAACAATTTGAAAGATAAGTTTTCTTTGCTAATTATCTGCAAAATTGCATAGAATAGTAATTTCTTAAAACAAGAAACACTGCAATGTGCAGATAATAAACAACAATGAAACACAAGTGGATTAAATATAGCTAATATTTTACCTCAGCATATGGGGCTTCATCAGAGCAAAAGTAATGGCATAGCAATGTCTGCGACAACTAAACCAGATTTTAAATTGCTGGGTAGTAAACAATTATATTTCACATGTAAATGGTACTAATTAATTTACCTAGAAGCCTCTTCTGTGCCACTTTCTACATCACTTTCTGTGTCTGAATGATCAGATGGTTCATAAGTTGACATTTCTTCATCCTCACAATCAAAATCATGCTCCTCCATTGATTCATTATCACTTTCCTCAGCTTCATTTGGAAGATCACCGGACATAATTTTTGTAGAATCATTAGGTGACCTCTTTGTTTTCCTTATTTTCCCTGAAATTATGTTTCACCACAATAAAAATGGCTGGATTCAAGTGATGATCCATCCTAAGTATAAGATAGGCATCAGTTCCAAAATAGGCTTTTCAGTGCTCTTTGTGCAATTTTATGATATTACATTTGCACTCTTCTTTGCAAGGTTGCTACCTCAATTAAGGCTATAATGGTAGCACTTTAGTAGAAGGGCACAGCCCTGTTCAGATCTTTTCAGGAGAGAGGGAGATGGTATCCCTGGACTCTGGACATTTTTTCCACAGCTTTTGTCACAGAGAAAAAAGTGAAACAGAAGCCTTGAAATTTAAAGGGCCAAATTACGCTGAAAAGCTTTGTAGAAGGATTTAAGCCATTTAGAAGCCATTTAGAATGCAAGAAACTTCTGGATCAAACAGAATCAATTGCACATTCGGGAAATAATTAGGAAAAACAAAAACCTTCATTGTAGTAAAAAAAATTGTGATAAAATTATTCTTACCATAACAACAACACTGGATTTTCTTTCAGTCCTCCCTCTATCCTTAGACCTCCCTCCCTATTGAAGGGCTTGACTGGTGCAGTTTTCTCGTTCAAGTTTGTTTTGCAAAAATGCCCACCTATTTTTTAAAGTTTCTTTAAAGATAAAAACTGAATTTGAAAGTGGACGTGTCCATCATTTTTTAGTCACTTTAAGGTTGTGACACAAGTCCAATCATAATCCAACAACCCACTTCTTGCCATTTGAATCCGCTCATGCTTCTTAGGCTTCCTCCCAGACCCCCAGCCCCCCCGCATTTTTTACTATTTTATTTGCCCTGGTAATTATGGAATGTTAAGAAAAATTTATTTACAAATCTGAAAAAAATATTTTTCCTGGCTGATTATGGCTAAACCGGTTTTTGAAGCCTACTTCTTTTATAGCATTTAGCAACGTTTATTTCTTGAAAAAAGAGACATTAGCGATGTCATTAGAGACATTATTCGGGAAAAACACAAATAAAGAAAGGAGGCAAACAGAAAAAGTCATTAAGAGTTGAATTGAAAAGGGCAAATTATGCTATCAATGTATAGCATTCTCAACATGAATACTTTGAAGGCATATTTTAAACAGTGACATTATATGTTAAACAATCAAATTAACCAAGTGCATTTTTGCTATATAACACTACATTGAAATGTAAAACAAAAAAAGAATATCTACTCTGAAAATTAACTTCTTGTCTCAAGTTTAGTGTTTTTCATGTTATTTTTCTATTTGGTAATGGCTTGATGGAAATAGAGTTAAACTTTGATGCACTATGAGTAACATTACCTGCTATTGGTACAATTCTGAACTGGCTCTTGATTATATTGTCATTATAGCCAACACTCTGGATATTAGGACCTTTGCCTCCTAAAGCAGTTCTCCAAATCATCTTGACAGAAGCGCTCTGGTAAAACATAATGAGCTCCCTTTGACAAAAAAATCTTGTTGCCTCGATCATTGAGTGTACAGATCTTTGAAGACCATTGCATGTTTGTTGTGAATTAATGATTTCTTCCAGTCAGAAAAATACTTTTAAAATACATTTTCTAGCCATTAAAACCTTTCATTATACTCAGATTCAAATGGTTTTAAAAACTTTTTCCTTTTCTGCAAATGCTCCTGCTTGTTGCTAACATCGAAACAGTCAAAAAAGTTATCCACCAGGGAACAAAACTCAGCTGTGCCTTTTCCATCACTAAAGCCATGTTCACCAAGAACCTTAGCCACAGTTGTGTTCAGAATTTGTACAGCAAGGCTTACTCTCATAGCAGAATAAGGTGTGAGATTGATATGCTCATAACTAAGATAAGGCAATAATTTCAACCTAAATTTGAGGTCTTCATAATACAGCTTGCTTATGTGGATCCAAAGAAATCTTGATGAATCATTTGAGCCTGAATTTGCTAAGTTGTTGCGAGCATAAGATGGGGAGCATCATTGAGAAAAAGACAAATCTGTCTGGTGCATAAATATTCATGGCACGGTAAACAATCCCATTCTGTGCTTTACCTTCCATTTCCTTGTGCATGTGAATAAATGAATGATTAGAAGATGCACCATCTCCAACTGTTCCTATTACATATAAATTACGTGCAGGTTCAAGGATGCCAACTGCTCGCCAAAACAGCAGAAAAAGCTGAGCAGAAGTGACACCTGTGGTTGCAAATGCTGCAAAACTATAGGACAGTGGGTTTACAACACTTTTCACAAAGAAAACTAGGAACATGGGTTGCTACTTTATCTACTGTTTTAAGAGTTTCAAAGTTAACTTCGGGTCACCCAAATCAACAAACCCTGTCAATTCACCTGAATTTTTGTCCCATACAAGTTCTTCTTGTATCTTCATTTCATTAAAGCGATGTATAATGTACCTTTCAACATTTGTGAATTCTCTTGTTCCTTTCTCCAACTGACTGACAACAGCATCATTAAAACCTCGTTTTAGGCGAATATAATGTCTATAGTCTCTGAGAGTACGAAGGCTTGGAAGAATCAATACACCACTTCCATGTTTTTCATCAACCTCATTTCCTTATAGGCAGATGTAGACTTGGCAGCAAGTGCCAAGCAATACTTAATAATCATTGGATGGTATCTAACTTGGCTTGGTCTTAGCTGCAAATATTTTTATTGCTCTTCCGAGAAAAGATTCTTAAATGGGGGAATATTTCTGTTATTTCAAGATCTGAATAACTCTTTCAAATCATCTCCAAGGTAATTTCTTACAGGCTTTGCCTTGGTGTCAATTTCCCTCTTCATTTCTTCAAGCTGCAATTCCAGTTGCTGGCATTTGATCCTGTTTTCCAGGAGAGCTAATTTGATGCGTACTGGATGAGTTGCTGATAAGGATGCTTTAAGTTTTGCAGCAGAAAATTTTGTCATCTTTTCGCTTATTTTGTTTTGATTCATACTGCTCTTTCGATTTACATGAGCCTCCATCTTGCAACAAAATATCACAAGATTTTGCACGCAGGTATTCCTGTTGCTTTAAAGGTGTCTCTACCATTGATGAAGACATACGGGAAAAAACCATGGGAACAGCATGAATGATCATAATTTTGTCTTGATAGCCATAGCCAAATTCAAATTGGTTTGATAACTTGTATGGGAGGTGTTCCCATCTTTCAACAGTAGAACTGATCGTGTTGGTGGAATTTGTTTCACACAGTGGTTGGCGATCCATCCATAGAAATTTCGGGTTTCCATCTATCCGTTGTCAGAAAAACAGATGAAATAATTTTTGGGAAAGCATAAGCAGTAGAGAGGATTCAGGAATTTACCGGGGAAATAGCTGGTGGTATTACAAATCCAATGGCAGAAATGCACTGCAATGATGTAATTGATGTAATTTTTGTAGAGCTTGAAGAACTGAATATTTGATCTGGGGATGGGATGTTTTTCTCTGCTAAAAAGGCCTCGAAACTGTGAAACCAGGCTTAAACGTTTTCTTTTGAGCACACAGTGGCCCTTCACAATTCTAGTGCTTTAGCTTGAAGCATGTTGAGGCCTGGTTGTCTTAATAAAAACCGCACCACCATGTTTTACCTGGTCTGTTTAATTTAAAAACTTTGACTTTTCTACCGGCTGCTTCAGAACTTGCTTCACAGCATCACAAACCTCTTCATGTGTCTTTCCAAAACCACGTCTTCCACATTCTTTTACCCAGTCGGCAATAGCATTCTCTTCAACATCCGTCAAAACCGTATGTTTTCTGTGTAGGGGTATCAAATTACGATTGTTTTGTATTCTTCTTAATGTTTCAAAAGTTATTTCTTTATCTTTGCTTTTCTTTATTATGGATGATCCATTTTCAATTTCATTTAATGCCTCTCTTACTGCATTTTCATTGTACTTTAGGTACTTTCTAATTTTTCTCAGTTTTGTCCCTGGCATTATTCCTACGATGTTAGAAACATCTTAGCATGGTAGATAAGCAGGATGCACAATAATATTTTTAAATCATTAAACACACCCTTCTTATAAACATACAATTTAGAAAGATGAGTGTTTAAATTTCCTATATATGGGCTCAGACACAGGTTGAAAAGTGGGGGGGGGGGGGGGGTCGAAGAAAAATTGAGCACCCATTACAAAATATTTTGAAAAACCTTTTTTTGTTTTGCAAAAACGTGGGGTGGGGGCATGCCTGGAACAATTTCCAAAGATCTACTGAAAGTGGGATTTGGGGAGCCCCTTCCCCCTTCTTCTGTCCTTCTTCTTCCAACCTTCTCTACCTCCTTCTTCCCCTTTTCACTTTTTTCCTCCCCCCCCCCATCCCTTTTCAGCTTTCAAAAATATATGGACGCCTCATACTTATTTTCATTATGAAAAATCTTAATTTTGCGTTTTTTTTAAAAAAGCACAATGTATGCAAAAACATGTGACACCAGTCATAGGAGTACCCAGTTAGGGCAATCTAAGGCCTAATTAACAAATAGCAATTAATATCTCCCAATGGTGAAACATTTTCGATTGAAAGAATGAGACTTGGCGATTTATAAAAAGTACTTCATTCTCAACTGAAGGAGTGTGCTGAAAGTTGACATGCTTGTGGCGGAGAAATTTTTGTGCATTGAAAAAATGTTATCCACTAAAACAGTACGAAAAATGTCAAACAAAAATGGGATAAACATACTTCCTTATCCGAGGTGAGTCTTTTTTACCGAAAATATTTTGTTCTTCATTTGTACCATTTGGGAAAAAAGTTGTTTATGTTGAGAAAATGGCGTAAGCAGGCAATTTTGCGCTCATTTGGTCTTAGCTTCGCCCCAACCTCCCAATTATTTCGTGATTATTTGAAGTAGTATAAAGGCTAAATTTCCAGGTATACTCGATCAGGGAGACAAGACCTCACAACTTCAAGTCGTTTATTATTTTACCAACATCTACTTTATAATTTTTGAATTCTGTGGCAAATTTATCAGCTATTTCCTTTTGATATGGAACAA